CCAAGCTGAGGGAAAAAAAAAAACCAACCAAGATTGTAATCAGAATAGCAAGCCCTGCTAGGTCTAACAACAACTGCTGGTTACTACTGCTAGAAGATAACAGTGAGACAGGCACACAGTACTGCTGTGCACTCAGCAAGCTCATATGGCAATATGCTTCTGTGGTCACCCTGTCTTTCCATTTCTGCTACTATCACTACATATTTCCTTTCTTTGTTGCCTGTACCCTAAACTGTAAGCCTTACAGGACAGGAACTGTGTTTTATTTACATATGTGCATCTGCCTAAATGAGTCCAAGACTGACACTTGTGGTCCCTCTGTTTCCCAGCATCTCTGCAGTGACACAAATAAACTAGAAAATCTCTGGATTTTCTTTCTAGTTTATTACAGCAGTTCACAAACCATGGCAGCTCTCTCGATAGTTTGTACATCCTTCCCGGCTCAGGACCCTGTCGCTCAGAACAGCACCATGCTTAGTGGCAGACCATCAAGAGCTCCTTTGCCAAAGTACTAGGTGTCACTGTCTGACTGCCTAGTACAGAGCCCATATGCTGGTGCAAGCATCAAGCTGTGCTCCTGTAAAATCGCAGCATGGGCCAGAAGCCTCTGTCTTCCTTTAATATTCATGCTATACCTGAAAGAACGGAGCTTGAGCTTCTAAGCACTATCACAATACAAAACAACTACAGTAATTTTTTACAACCTGCTATTTCCGCTTGCACATGCTGTATGGCCTACAAAAGGTTATGCATATAAAATTGTTAGGTTACAGTTATTATCTTGTTAGAGTGTTTTAAGAGTGTCTCAGGAATGAAAGGACTTATTTTTATTAATATTTCAGTAAAACTATGAGTGTGTAGTACTTGCTTCTGATGTAGGAAAAACTCATTTCAACTCAGTAATCCAGCATAACCACATCCTCAAATCCCAACATGTCTCCAAAATCTTAAGATACAAAACTGGGTCATGGCCAAACTCTAAACCAACCTTTGCTATCTCAGCAGAGATCTTCCACTGCCTAAACAAGCTCTCTAGTAACAGCTGTGTGGAAATCTCTGCCTGTCAGATATTAAATCTTTATAATCCCGATACTGATCGTTTTTTTTAAATATTCCTAAAAATTATTGCCATTATGGAGGACCTCTCATTGACCTATGCTTCAAACTTTATAATGTTCTTCCAATCATTTTGCTCCCTACCCACATCCCCTCGACAGCCTACCACAGAAGCATAAAAACCTTTTTTTATTAAATGCTCTCATCTTCGATGAGCAGCTGAACTTGGCAAACTCACCACACCCACTCTGTAGGAAAGGCATATACTAACCCGCACTTACAAAGAAAATGTCAAACTTTTTTCCAAGTTTGATAGATATATCAACTCTGATTCTCCACAAAACCCTCTTACCAACGCTACATGCTCTTATAGATAATCTTCACAATGCTTATCAGAGAAGATTACTCTCTCAAGAAACAATAATCTGGATGAATTCTTTTTCTCCTGGGACTATCTACTGAGATATCATTATCATAGTCCATAAATATCATCAAGAGAGCATGGCTACATCTTCTCCTCACTCCTCTGCTTGAACACATCTCCTATTTTTACCCTGTATTTTTCTCGTTTTAGTTTTATATTCCCATTTCCCCCATTTACTGTTAATCTCCAGATAATGACTTCCACAACAAACAAGTTATGAGTGCTCTAGTTAAACATTATGTAAATGTCAGAGGTCTTCTGCTTCAATCATTATCTATATTAGCTTATAGAGTAAGTTATTTGCCAACCGCTGTTAGCCCTCTTCTCACTTATGTCCCAAAACAAGTTTTAAAAATTAAATTAATAAAAGAAATGAGGATTAAGCTCCTCAGGTCTCACTAACATATTGAGTCTTTAGCAAGTCACTCAAGATTATTCCATGCACTCTTCTTTAAAGGGAACTCCCCTTTCAGCCAGCATGCTTCAGGATTAGTTCCACTGCTCCTACCCTCTCTGAACAACTAATTGGAACAATAATGGGGTGGATCTTACCAAGTAGTCACTGGTCATTAGCTCACGACCTAGCCAGCACCACTACCTGGCACTAATACTTTGATTTCCATGAACAGGCACATTACTCCACAATTCAGGCACATTACTGCACTCAGTTTACTGAGATGTGAAAACTCAGGTTCTCATCTGAGGTTCTTGGGATTATTTCTGATCAAAAGGAAAAGCAGCATTCAAAAGCAGCAGTCTGAGACTAACAATCCCGTTGGCATTTAAGTGGTTTGCCATTTTGCATGAGCACTTCTTACAGCTATTTTATATCTCAAAAGTAGAGAAAAATTAACAGACTTGACTCACCACTCTTAACTCCAGCACAACTGTGCTTATTTCGATAGAGGACTTCGGTGCAAAGGAGTAATGCCATTATGAATCATGATAATGCTTTGTACTTGTGGTTTTCGTGCACAGAACTTGGAAAGCTTTACAAACATTGGTAGGAAGAACTGTTAACATCACTGTACAAATAGTGAACTTAGGCACAGAAAGCTGAAGTAATTATCCAAAGGTCACACAGTGAGTCAGTAGTAGATGCAGGAGAAGAATCCACTTACATTCACTCCCAAATTCTCTAATGGAGCATCCCTCCCCTTTCTGCAATGAAGTTTTAAGTGTAAATCAATAAGTGAGGTCACTGAAAACTTTCTGCATGCAGACTGTAGTGAAGTCATCCTTTAGGAAAGCACTGACAAAGAGGAAGGTGCTGCATGAATTTTTCCATGGTCCTTACAAAAGGATACAGCATTCTGGGAGGAGGCGAGAGGAGAGGATGCTTGCTCAGGAAGCACTGTAACAGGGCTGCAGTGACAAATCATTACTCCCAGAACACTGCTCAAGGAAATGTAATGCTGCCGTTTTCCAAATGCTGGGTTATAAAACCTTTCACACATACAATATTTAAAACCATGAATTACCTTCGAGAATGTATCCAAACATCTAACAGTATCAAGTCATGCTAACGGTTATCTGTTTATAGGTCAGAAGGGCAGTAAATTATTGCAATGGAAAGTAGTAAAGCCTGCATTGTATCTAGTTGTGCTGTTTAACAGGTGATAGTGAAAAGTAGGTGATGCATGGAAACTTCAAGCTTTTATAGCTCCTGCCTCAATATGTATTCACTTATATAAAGATGTCACATTTTTAAACATTTAAAAGTCAAATTGTCTGGAGAATAGATTCATATAAAATTTATTTTCAGAAACCAATATTTAGCCTACTGCTATCAGAGTTGATTGCTCTTATGTATAAGCTTTATTCAAGTTTCTACAGGTTTGAAAATACAAAGACTGCCATTTCAGATCCCATACTCAAGTGTGTCATTAACCAGAAATTGAAATGGGAACATTTCCACTTTCTCAGAAATACTCAGTTTGTTAGGGTGATAACTGCACTAACTGCTTTTGAGTTTTTGTGAAGCTACTAAATATGACTCTACTTCAACACAGACAGGAAGGAGGAGTCACAACAGCAAAAGAAGAACCCTGAATTGGTGCCTTACCCAGCACAATATGCCCTGAGAATTGAATAGTTTCAAAGCTCTGCCAAAATAGCTATTTGTAAGTGGCTAATGGCAAAAATGTTTTATTCTGTTTATGTCAAAGACATGTTTGTCAGGCACTGGACAGCCAGACAAATCAGGGTCTAATTACTTCAGTCAATTCCCTCAGTTTTATCCTTTCAGTCTACATTGAGTTATTAAAACATCAGAAATAAAATGCTACTGAGACAGTAATAAGGGAAATAAGATGTCAGAACTCTATTAACAATGGCATTTTCAGGAAGGAATGCAAATAGAAAATCAAATTTATGCAAGAAATATATATCAGTAAGTAATACTCAATATAATCATCCTCCATTTATCTTTAAAGCAGGTTTCATCTCCAACTGGTTTTAAAAAAATGCTTCAACACACTGACATCGTGACTTCTTTGGAAAAGTGACCATCATTCAGATTCAGATGCCTACCTAGCACAAGAGGTTACTGGTCCCCAACCCAAATACTACAGTTGTACAAATAACAGTATGTGAGTAATAATTTATTCCACCCTCGACATTTAGCCAGCTCAGAGAGAACGTGTGACAGTTAAACAGTTGCAAGATAAAAAGAACCGGAAAATGCCACATTCAACTGAAATGACAGGAAATATTTAAGTAGACAGAATGTAATAAATTTGGCAGACTTATGGGAGTTTAATTGCCCCTTTGTGAAAAGGGATAAATACATGTAAAAACCGTAACTGTGAGGACCACTTTCTGGGAGGAACAGCTTTCTGTTAGGGGTGTCTAAGTATTCATTACTTGAATATGACCATCACAGAAAGGAAATTTTCTCATTCCATGGCAGTGATGGTTGTGCTGGCGGTAGCACCTCCCAGCTCTGTGTCAGGCTTCATGCAGGCACCAAGAGGCCAGCAGCCTCTGGCCCCAGAGGGGCTGTCACATGTACCAGCAACTTTCTGGTCTTACACTGAATCACATTTACTAGCATAGATCGCAAGATGTTTCCTACTTCAGGCAGCATCTGCCACCCAAATAATTGAGCCTCATTTGCTCCCAGAAGAAAGTAGTATGCACTTTTTCCCCCCCCACCACCACTGTGAAATCGCTCATCTACCATGATGGCTGGAAAGTCCCATGTTAGCTCCCATCCAAGTGTCTCAAGTCATCCTGTCTGTTGAACCATGATACAGAAATACTGCTTCACTGAGGAAAAAAAAATCGGTGGTTTCACCAGAACCTTCAATGGATAAGAGAGATTTTTCCTGGGCTTTTGTTCATCTAAAAAAAAGTGACCAGCCCCCCCCATTTTACAGTGTTTGACATTTCAAAACATTTCCATAATATCCTTAAACTCCTTCTTATTAGTTTGTTACAACAGAAGTATTCATCTCTTATTTCAATCTATCATCTTTCTCCTATTATGGAAAAAGTCAAAAGGGCATAATGAACATACCTGGTTTTGCTGGGTCTGTTGGGCAGCCTGGCACGTGCTCTCACAAAGAAGTTTAGACTTACAAGCCTAAAAGGTTGAAGACAAATTAAAAGGAATACTTAGAATATTTACTAATTTTAACACAAGGGATTAGTTCAGCATGTAAACAGCATAAATAGTATGTCTGAAAATCAACAAGCCACACCAAGAAAAACATGGTCTTACTTATTACTTAGGATTGTACACTTTGCGTTCAGTGTTTATCATCTTAGTGATGATGCCATCTAATCATTCATGAAAAAAATAAAAGCAGTATCGTGATAATTGATAAAATAACAACAACTTCAGAAAGAAGATGCCCAGATTCTTCTAAACTGCATCACCAGCTGGATTTGAGTAACCTTCTGGAGGTGCCTTGTGCTTCCACTCTTGCTTTCTACAGAGGGACTCAAGAGTGATTGAGGGTCCTATCACACACATTCTTAGAAAGAAGGAATCAGGGAGAAACTTCCCAATATGTTAGTGTTCACTGAGTTACATGGCCTGACTGACAAAGCACTACAAAATACAAAAAAATCTACAAGTTTTGAAATACTTTTTTTAAGCAAATCTGTAGTCCTCTACATTTACTTAGCCTTAAATAAGCATGTTGTTACATTTGGATAAACCCCTGCAATAAAATTACTGCTTAAAGAACCAGATAATAAGAATGCATAGTCTAGCTAATACAAGACTCTAGTGTATTCTTTTTCTCATGTTTTACTTACAGAAGTGTAGACTCTTTACTTCAGATGACACAACCCTTTTTACCTCTGATGAATAAACATGCCCGTGAAATGAAACATATGTATATCTGCCTTGTGTCATACAGCATCAGAGGGTTTTCTCCCAACCTGAGTACTTGTTCTTTCTAACCTAGTGCAGGTAAAAAGACTACCTTTTTACAAGAATTAACTTACACAGAGAGGAGTCCCACACCAATTGGACTCCCCTTACAGTGTCTTATAACTAGACCAACAATTCATCTTTGCATTTACATAACATTTTAAATTCAGTGAGCTTACATGCTCCAACAAACAGTGGGCATCATCTTCTATTTAAAAAGCAAGAAACTAAGCCAGAAAGCAATTAAATAACTTGATGGCAAGACAGTAACAGAACAGAATTAGATCCCAATTCATCGGCTTGCCAGCCCTCACTTACCTGGTAGACCATAGCAGCAGTCCCAGTAGCCCACTTGTATGCAGAATTCTCATGGTCAGCACAAGTAATGAAAAATATTAATCAAAACTTCTCATGTCCCTTTAATGACATTCCCATGGATGAAATGAAAAACAAAGGCCTAAATATTTAAAGACCTTTCTGTATGTGTCTGAACTCTCATTTGCTCAAGTAGAAAGGACTTCCTCCACACCTACCATTAGCTCTGATTTTACCTGAAGCTTTAGAATCTACACAAAGCATCTAAGATAATGTTCCAAAAGGCTGAAATCTTGATTAACTAAAATGTTCAAGTTAAAAATAAATTTTAAAAAAAAAATCAAATTGGCACACATTTCTGTGTTAAGCCTTAGAAAACGTGGAAAATAATAGTTTCACAACCAGAGACAGTATTATATTCAAAGCTTGCTTACATGTATATCAATTCAAGTGTGAATGCTGAACTTGTGCTGGTGTTTCAGCCATAGGTTTGTGTCTTCACCAGGTGCTACATATTGGTTTGAAAAACAAGAGGTTACTTACAAGTCAGTCTGTCTATACATTCACATGATGGTTGCACATGCACCCAGGCACACAGAACAGGAGGATTTCTGCATTAGCAGCACTGGTCAGAAGTAAGTCCTTCCCCCATATATGGACATGCATGCTGCTCCCTGAACAACACTGCATCCCAGGTCCTCTGTTCCTCTCAGCCTCAAAACCTCTAGGGACTCCAAGGCAGTGTACTCATACTTAACGCAAAAGTTACAGATCAAAATAACTGTTCTTTCTGTCTCTTTTAACCCCATGCCTTAATGTACACACTCATTACAATGGACACTATCAAATACTCCAAAACCACAAATCGCTAGGAGTCACAGAGTGCCTAACTGAACAAGCACTTGAAGGATAAGTATCCAAAAGGAAGAGCTGCGCCAAGAAGCTGTGGAGTGTTGTGCTTTACGTGATGAAATTATGGATCTCAGGAAAGTAAGTGGTCTCCACAGCTGTTACTTGAAATCCAGAGAGCAACCCGAGTTGCTCACAGGATGTTCTACCTTCAATCTCACACACTCATTTAATGAGACAAGATCACTATTAAAATTTTCAGTCTCATTTTCTGTAACCATGAACATAAATGGTTCCTGACAACTGATGTCCTCAATATGTCTGTGAGTAGAAGCTTTTCTGCTGAGGTTTAAGAGTGACATTATCCCACAAGAGTGGGTCCTGACCTAGCCATAACAGGCACCAAGGTCCTTACTTCTTTGTGAGAAGCCCTTTGAAATTTTAGAGCAGAGACATTCATCTGACAGTCCTCAACTAAAGTACTGATATTCATAACCCAACTCCAGAGAGTAAGAGGAGTTTGTGAAGTTACACAACAGAAAACAGAAGACATCCTGAAAATCTGTTTGGCCTGCTCCAGGCAACAGGATTGCTGCTGCTTATAGAGAACAGAACAGATGGGGAAAGATGTAACAGGGAGGCAAATGTATCTATTACAGATTGACTAGAAATTTCTTTCAAGGCAGAGACCGACCTCAAGGTAATCCAGACTTATGAGATAGATCAGAGGACATCATTTGCTTTCCCCTACTCTAAATATTAGGAAGTAGCTCAGCCAGTCTGAGAAAACATGTAACTGTGTGGTTACCTTTCACTACTTTGGTTTCAGATTGACAATTTTCTTGCACTGACAAGAGAAACTCATGTATCACTGTTTGTGTTGATGGTACCATGAATCATCATTGGCACATGACAGTCCTGAATGTCTGCATGGCCTGTTTCTACCCACGCTCCAAGCTCTGAAATCATGAGAGCTAATTTCCACAATGAAGAGAAATGTGTATTACTATACATCTGAAAGTGGGATATTTCAGACATTTTCTGGCATCTGACATGAATAGATGGCAACCAAAATTGTTATGCGATGATATTTAATGCATTCACTGGATCAGAGACAGGTAACCAGGCGGTTCTAAACCATAATCACATGCAAAATGTATGCTGTCTTGCAATAAATGCCGCAGATGCACGGTCTGTGCTCATGCCACCTCACTAGATATATTCTGCTTATATAGAGAAATGAGTCTAGTTGTCTCAAGAAATATACAAATTTGTCCTGTGGTGAATAAAATCCCAGGAGGAGACTCCTCATAAACTTCAAATGGCAAATTGTGCATCAGAAAAACTTTAAGTTTGAACTTTTTGCAGCTCGAAACAAAAAACTCAAGCTAAATCTTAGGGTATTCAGAACTAACTCTGAGATATTTCTGCAGGCAATCATCCTGGTACAGACAGATAACGAATTCCCACCTTCATAGCTGAAAGAAAATTACAGCCCTGGCTCTCATAAAAAAAATCTTTCTGTCATACAAAGACCAACCTATAGTGCCCTGAACTGATAATCACCTGAATTTCATTAAATAAAGACACTTACAATTAAACAATCTGATGAACACATAAAAATGTGTGCTCTGTTATCTTTCAGTATAACAAGCACTAATATTACGCTATCTGGAATTTAAACTGATGAATGAATGTACTTAGTTTATGAAGTCTCAGATTAGTCTAGAGCCTCTATTTGTTTCAACAGCAAGATACAGAAACTCTAACCATTTCCACTTTAAGAAATAAGAGTCAAGCTGTTCGACTATTGCTACTGACCCAGAAACAGTTTCACTTTTTACCAGAACAGGTTCTCACAGGATGATGTCTCTTGAACAGTTCATGAAGAGAGAATACAGAACAGAACCACCAGAAAGTTCAGGTTGGATGGGAACTCTGTTAGTTACCTGGTCCAAACCTCACCAAAACAAGGCCACCTTCAAAGTTACACGAGGTTGCTTGTACAGTTAGGCTTTGAAAGTCTCCAGCACTGGTTTTCAACAAGTCAGGAACTTCGGAACGTAATCTTGATATACTTAGAGGAATCCAAGAAGTCTGTTACCAGGAACTGATGAATCAAGGAGGTTGGAAGTACACAAGAAACTGATTTTCTAAAGTTTTCTCTTCTGAAAAAGGCCAAGGACAGCAGAAGCAAAGGGAATATGCACAGGTCAAATGGACTACACAGCTAAAAGTACCAGCATACATATAGGCAGCTGGGAAGTCTGCACTCCTAATGGCTGTCAAGTAAACAGGTAACTCCACAAAGTAAAGGGTAGAACAGAAGTTTTCTTCCTCAAGGTCTGTAGCAAAATATAAAATCGTTGACTGTAAATGCAGTCTTATGAAGCCTTGCTTTCACTGAAGAAGCCTTCTTTCACTTCAAAGGGAGATTGAGAGGGTGCTGGTGTGTATGGTCATAGTGCTGTCTCCTAAGAGCCACTACAAAGGTTATACTGAAGAAATTGCAATATCTGATGTAAGAGTTTATAAAGTGCTTCCAAGCACAGGCAGTCCTGCTACGAATTTCTTAAATTCTCATAACAGCACCAGAAGTCTACAGGGCCAAGAGAATGTTTTGCTGGAAAGGAACTGTCTTATTTCCAGATTTATCTCTCAATAGAAAAATACATACCAGAGATGAGTGTCCACCTAACAAAAAGACTTCCATAGGAGTGACAGTGTTTAAAACCAAGTGAATGAAACCAAAAGAGGCATCTTCAGAGAAAAAGAAAATCAAAAGACCCTAAAGAGACTAAAGACAAGGCTGATTAAAGACAACAGAACAAAGAGAGGGTGAACTAGCATAGATTTCAGTTAAGCAGTGAACTGCTCAGACCTCCCTCACTTAAGCAGTGAGCTGAGATTGAAGTGCTTATCACCACGAATACAGCATCATTCACAGCATGCAAGTAGATGGGACTTTTATGCAAGCCAACAGGTTCTACTGTGGCACACATTTCCAGAGGATTGAGTGCAGGAGGAGTTCTGTTGTG